AATATATATATATATATATATATATATCATGCACAGAAAATCATAATTCAACTTAAAAATGCATCACCTAAGAAGACAAGACGCCCAGCAAACCAAAGAATTATAATAAATCAAACTGGTAATAGACCTCCAACATATAGTAGTCATCAGCCCAATGCAAAATTGTTTATCTTTAGAATGGGAAAAAAAATAACCCATAAAGCCTAAAACCGGGGAATAAAAAATGCAAAACTTCAGCTGATTAAATAGTTCTTAAAATTATAATTCAAAATATTTCAGGTACCTCTCTTTGAGCTTCAGATCGTGGATCTTAGGGCACGCTCCTGCCATAAAAAACGGAAAAGAAAACAAAAAGAGTAGAGACGTCAATGACAAGAAATGAAAAATTAGGGCAGAACAAAGGGCTCACCGAGATCACTCTTCGTATTCACAAAGAGATCGTGAGGGCAAAAGCGGACCATGAATGGTCCACAGACCTCCCTATCATCCCAATGGATTTCCCGGTAGCCTTTCTTCTCTTCCTCCGTCAGATTACGAGCTGCAAAGAACAAACAGTAAGAAAAACTGCGGAGCGATAAAGGCCGAGCAACGAAAACCGCTAGGTTTACCTGCTCCCATGAGCTCATCAAGAAGAGCTCTTTGGGCGTCCATGGAGGTCGTCGGGGATCTCAAAGACTGTACACCAATTCGTGTCGATGGAAATTAGGGCTTGCGATTTCGATAGGGTTTTGCTGCATAAAACAGGAGCTCCGATACTAGTAGCACGCACGACATAAATTATCCACCGTTATGCATGAGAAACACAACGAAGGGTTGGGGCTTCTACTGTTTGTTAACTTTTATTTTTTTTTAACTAAAAATTTTCCACAGCATCTCTAATTTTTTGAAAAGCTGTCAACTAAACAAATAAAATTGTGATGCGGTGCACCGCCCCAAATTTACGGTCTGCTTGAGACAGCTTATTTGGTGCGATGGCGTTGTGAAAATGCATCTGGTCTGTTTGAGTAAACTGCGTTTTGGCAGCTTATGCATTCCTGGTCTGTTTGAGTAAACTGCGTTTTGACAGCTTATGCATTTTCAAAACGCTCGTTTCGACACCGCCGCCCTAAAATATCAGTTTACATCATGTCCGTCTTACCAAAGAAAAAATAAAATAAATAAATATTTTTATTTGGGGTTAAATGGCATATTGACACTCATCTTTAGACTTTTATTAAATTTTTTACTTTATAAAATTTTACTCTTTAAATTTAACTATTTACTATATTTTAATTTAATGATCAAATTTATAATAATAAATTTTATCCAAAAAAAAAATTATTATACTGGTTGACATATTCGATCATTCTTAATTGATCAAAAAAAAAATTATTATAAATGCACTTGACATATTCGATCATTCTTAATTGATGATATTCGACAATTAGCATATAAATTTTATCCAAAAAAAATTTATGGAAACAAAAAAAAAAAATTGCACTTAAGAATTCAATTAGAAATTTTAAATTAAAGTTCATGAAGGTCGAGTTTTTAATACATTTCCATAATTTATTCCTTTTTTAAAAAAATATTGGCTAACACAAATAAGCATAAAATCAACCATATGTCCTCTTACTTATTGATTTTAGATTAGTAATGATGTTGTCGTTTCATTTGCAATTTATGATTGTAAATGAACTAATACACTTGATGAATAATTTAAATAGCTCAATTTATACACGATCAAGTTTATTTAAATTAGTAAACAAATAGATATGGACTTTTTTTAAAGCTAGAAGGTTAAATGAACCAAAATTAAACACGGTCTAATCCATATATCTTTATTAGCAAATAAAGCAATTTATTGCCTGACAAGTACTTTGTTAAATTCTTTATGGAATGTTCGATGATAACTTATATCATATATGATATATTATATAAATAAAATTTGATTAGCTATAACTTCATTAATCATTGAATTAATAGTGATAGATTATAATTTAGTATTAAATGCATTATAAATTAATACAATTTCTTCTTATTTTATTATTTCATTGAAATTGTTTTTTAGTATTTACTTATGTGTGTGTGTGTGTGTGTGTGTGTGTGTGTGTTAATATTTATAAGAAAGCTCATTTACAACTTATTACTATCTGATTTATTTGGTGTAAATTGGTTATATACTAATTCAAAATTTATTTAATTATTTATTTGTCTAAATTATTGAAATTATTTCTTAATGATTCTATATGAAAAGCCAAGTTTTCATTCAAACTTAACCTCTTTCTATTAATTTGTTGAAATGCTTATTCAATTACTATAAATAAATCAAATACATGCCTAGTATATATTGTTTCATTTTAGTACGAGTTCTATCATATTCATTCCTATCTCTAGTGCTTGGGATCTAACCTTAAGTAGTCCTTATTTGCTCTCCTAGAAGACTAATAGAAGATTCAATACCAAGATAGAATTTCAAACATCTCTTCACTCCTTATAGTTTCATATGCTTAACTTTAAATCACCCACCTTAGGTTGAGATAATTAGGGTTAAGTCATGGAAGCTTAAGTTGAGTTCTCACAGACTTGAAAATGTCTTAAGCTACCTTTTAATCATAGAGACTTGGGTCTTTTGTTTGGTCTTTCTTTATGCAACTGACTCATTTCTTTCACAATTTCATGGATAGTGACTCGCCAAAACTTATCGTAAAGTAAGTGACCGCACAACATAAGTGCACCTGTCAAGTTATTTGTGATTTAAGTATCCGTGTATCGATCTCATGATGAAAGTGTTAACAATTTATTTTCACAAAATATCTCTAATTCACTAATTTAGTTAACCTAGCTCGGATTCTAACAAAACAAAGTAACTGGCAGACAATAAAAAACAAAAGTAGCAGAAAGATTTTTGTGAATTCATTCAAGATTTATGAGGCTCGTGCCTCTGTATTTTGAGGATCGTGGTGATCGTAATTTTCTTAAATATTTTCTTACGTGATTGTTGTCATTCAGGAATATGGTACTCCTTATGTCTATGTCTAGGTAAAAAATGCCTAATATCCAAGAAACTGAGGCATCCTTAATTCCAATGACATTTTAATTGTTCCTATACCCTGAGATGATTGCAAAATTTCACTGGTATATATTTATCCTCTCAGAATTTTGTGGTTAACGCTTCATTTCCATCATACATTGGTTAGAGATTGTTGTTTCACAAAGCAATTTAACATCCTCGTTTGTCATACTAGAAATAAATTAAGTTCATAGGTTAGCCAACAACACAGGCCATGAAATCACAAGAAAAAATTAATTAAAAAATATTACGAAAAAATCACGATTAAATCCACTACCCCTACATCACAGAGACACAAAGAATGTAATTAGCCACACATTATCGAGAAAACCATAACAAAGGTAACTATGCAGAAATTCATTACAAGAGACAAAATATGTAAAACTTACAATAACTTATTTTCTCCCTAATTGTAGTAATTCTCTCTCTCATACAAGCTTCTCACAACTCACAACACAAATAAAAACTCACCCTTGAAGGATTCAACCCAGGAAGAAGAAGAACTTCAAGAGAGCACTCAAGTTCTCTTTAAATCTTCCTCCAACAGCCTTCAATGACTCCCACATGAAGAACTATTTTGTTTCAAGCCTTCAAGAGGCAAAAAAGGGCTCTCTCATGACACAAATAGATATTTATATTTGAGCTTTACATTATGGATCCAAAATAGGCATCTAAAGTCTACAAATTCATCAATATGTCCAAAATAGGCAAGAAATCGACGTAAAATATGAGTTCTGGACATCTGATGTGTGGTCATGCCGGAAATGGATGTGGTCACACCTGAAACCTAGCGTGATCAAGCCAATTATGAAATGTTCACGCTTAGATCTGGCATGGTCATGCCCAGATCAAATGTGATTATGTCAAATAGTATCATTTCACACGTTTTGACTCCATTTCATGTGTTTGACACCTATAACCTACAAAATAGCACAACAAATCTTCTACAATTATAAATTCATGATAAATAATGTGAAATAACATGTAAAAAGAATGTTAACATGCAGGTAAAATCGCAAACTAACCATATTACTTGCCCTCAAGTAATTACAAAGCTCAGTAGGGGTTTCATGAAATCAATTGGTACTCTTGGAAGTTTCTAATTTTTCACCATGTTTATCTTAGCTAAATAATTTTTTTTTTAAATTCCATTATAGATTCAATTATCTTTAATGGTTATTAACTCATCCCTTAATTTCTGATATGTCTAAAAATATGTTACTTTTTTATATACATTTTATGCTCATTTTTAATGATATTGCACTTTAATGGAAGGTATTTTGTTTGTTTTTTGTTTTAGGTACAAGAGATGGAATTTTAAAGAAAAATGAACAAAAATGAAATAAAAAGGGTTCAAATGGAGCTAAGGAGCACAAAGTGAACAGAGAGCCTAGTGTCATGGCATCAGGATCTGGTGCCTAGGCGCCAGACAGTTATATTGAGCTTCTAGAAGGCTAACGCTTAAGTGTCATAGTTGGGTGCCTAGATGCCAGAATTAGTATTGATTATTGTGCATTGAATTTAGATAAAGTTTTGAGGGGGCATTTGAAGTGACTTTTACGGATTTCGAGAGTTATCATAAAAAGAGTCAAGAGAGTCTTGGGAGTCTTTGAGTAGTGGTCGTGGTGTGTGGTGGAGATGATTTGTTGTGAGAGTCTTTTGGTGTGTGTGTGTGTGTGTGTGTGTGTGTGTGTGTGTGTGTGTGTGTGTGTGAGTGTCTTGGAGTAAAATTGTAAAGAGAGTTGAAAATTCATCAAAGGAACTTCAAAGGAATTGCTTGGGGAAAAGTTTAAGTTATGTTTTATTGTGTAAACTTGAATTTTAATATAAAATCATGTTTTGTTCTGTTAACCCCATGAAGTCTGAGTGGTTTTCTTTATCTTTCTCCTTGCAATAAGAAATAATCATGCGTAGGAATTGTTTAAGATTTCTCTTATTTCATACTTGTGATGATTCATTACTTCATACTTAATTTACATATTCAATATGACAAATTAGTATTTTAAAACTTGTCATGAATCTATAATGACCTGGGAGGGCTATGTTTTCCTCAACTAGTAAGAATCACATTAATCTAGTGGTGATAAGGTAGTCCTTAGGTTGGTAAAAATAGATAGGGAGATAAGTTTTGATGGGTGTAAATTGGTGATTATAGGGTGACAGGCTAGAAACTTAACTAATTTGTTCTTGAATTTGGAATTTAAGGCTAGGTTAGTCCAAAATATTGGGCACAGTGGGTAATATAGAGTGGCAGACTATAACTTATCTAGGATAATCAAAGATCTAAGAACTTAACTCTAATTTAGCCAATGTTATTTATGCATTCGAAAAAGAGTAAAGAATAAGTATGCTCCTATTTGTCACAAAAGTACATTTAAACTTTTAAACATTTGATTCCTACACTAATTATTATCTCATTGCAAGGGAAAAAACTTTCATGTAATTTGAACTCTTCTACGTAAAGTTAGTTTAGAAACATCAAGCATTTTCTTTAAGTTTTAAAACTGAATTAGTAGGAATTAGTTACTTCTTTTTACACATAACTTGGGACCTTATTTTCTAGATAATTGTCTGGAGTTTAAGTAAAAGCATTTTCTTTGAGTTTTGAAACTTAATTAGTAAGAATGAGTTACTTATTTTTACATATAACTTGCGACCTTATTTTTTAGATAATTGTATAGAGTTTAAGCAAAGTTTTATGAAGTCATAAAAACATTTTTCACCTTTCCTATGGGATCGATACTGGGGTTTTAAAAGAAAATCCTA